AGCATTATGACACGAGGTTTACCTAGTATTTGACTTTTTACCATAAGTAAATTAATTAATAAGAGTTAGATAAACAGTATAACCAGGCATCATGAAATTGAAGTCCAGTTTCCCCATAACTTGTAAATTTTACCGTGAGTTCCATGATTAACATGATTCCAGATTTCGTTTTGGTAAACAATGGCATAACAATAGAAGTTTCTGGCGCAAGGCATTTTAACGTGGCGTCATGATTAAAAGACAAATGAAATAACGTGTCCAGGGTGTTACCTTTAAGTGCATAGCCAGTAGTGTTATCGACTCCAAGCAGGCGAATCAAGTGAGTCGGGGCTGAACCACCTATGGCGGGCTCTAGAGAAAACGTTAAAATGGAAGAGAAAAAGAGCTTACCTACTACAATTAATCCAGCTAAAATAGTCTTCTTGTTATATTGAATGTAAGCGCTTGTAACCTTATTGATAGAAACACATCATCGACGCTCACTTTCGCTCTCTGCACCCCTGGAATATGTTATGGCAAAATTGAAGGCTCCAAGAAAGGTGTTTAATTGGTCCAAGGTATAGAACCCAGATAGGGATACATGTCCTTTGAAGATTACAAAAGAGTGACGCCCCACTTCAAAGTCAGTTAATTTTTACCGTTTCGCGATCGCGAGATTCTTTTTATGTACGTGAAAGGATCGAACTAATCTTCTTGTCTTAAGTTGGCGAACATTGAGCGTTAAAATTTGCTACGACATTTTCCAGGAGTGCAGAAAGAGTAAGACAGCGAAACCCCTGGAGTATCGATGATGATAGTAATACGGTGTGGCAGATTCCTTAACGATGTTCTCTACCTGTCGTATAGAATTATATTCTTTCTTTCCTTTCTCCGTTATCGAAGTTTCACCAGCAGAGAAGGAATTATTCAACGGAAAAAAAACGAAGGAGTACATTCTTTGTTTGGTACTGTTTTTGGATGCACCCGATACGTGTCTTTCGGTAGGTTTCTGTGTTTAATCCAGAACTTTTATATTACGAAACCTGAGGGAGAATCGATTTTATTGACACAATTGTCAAACCAAATCCTTTAATATGAACATTGATTTTGGAAAACAGTTCCATTGCGCATACCGGATTTTTTCCAAATTTGTTAGTGCATGTGTACCACAAAAGAAGCTATTAGTGCGTCACGCACTGCCACGTTAACGGAAAACGTTTTTTAAATATGTTGTAATTGTGTGCGCTGCTATCGAGCTTAATTATGGGGACTCTAGTTTGTGTTGAAATTTTAACGGATGCACTAAAGTTTTAGACTACGCATAGGCAAATAACAATTTTATGAGAATTTAACGTGTCACTCAAAGTTGGAACATCATTTATGGAATGATGTGTATTTTATTAAAACAATAAGAGCGTGTCTTTAATATAACAGACATGGTCAATTTTCATATTTTATTTTTATTGAAATATATAACTAAATGGTTTGTGATCTTAACATGTGACCATAAAATGACCAACATTGAGTGTAGTTGAAGTTTAATGATCTTTAAGCTATTTGCATACGTCTACAATTATTTTCATTGTCTATTAACTCTTTAGGTCTATAATGACCTTTTTGTTTTGAGGGATCTATGTATAGGGTTAGCCTTTTTACATCATACATCAGTATATTGTGGGTTTGAGCTGGTAGCCTGTCAAATGATAAGTATAGGCGTGGGAAATTAAGTAAATGCGACCAGCTCCTGCCACCCGCCATCTTGCAGATATTCATAAATGTTACAGACAACAGCTTTTACCCAGTAAGACATGTTCACGGCCCGGCAAATCTCCGTGTAAGATGTGAGAGAAAAAGAGTAAAGCCTTATGTTGATATGGAAGACAAGAAAATTCTAACCCAGGCTTAGAATTCAGCCAATGGCATAGCCCTGGTTCTGACCCAGATTTGGCACCCTCGGATATAATTTCCATTTCTTCAATACCTTCAAACGATAGACCCTGTTAATGAACTTGATACTACTTGTCACAAATATGTACTGGATATCCAGCCAGTTTATTATAAAGTGTTCAACTGTAAATTATTGATTAATAACATGGAACACATAAGACTATTTTTGACTTCATTATGCTGCTGAAGACCATTCAGTGTCACTCAATGGCTGGCACTGTTGTCTTAATTGCTGAACTTCATGTCGGACTAAACGACGGTATAAAAAAAGATAATATCCTTTGCTGCAATCGCTAGTTTACATAGGTGCCCTCGTAGCACGGCATGGTAAATATTTGTTTACACCGCTGTTAGTCCGAGGTTTTAGTACAACTATCGCATTTCTACAACGGTTGGACGGAGTTTGTCTATTTTTGTTTCTTACCCGACATTTTAAACACATTTATCGCAATAAAACAATTACTTAACTTTCGGGTTGTCGGTAGCTGACTGCTTATTTACAATGATATGTCCGCGTCCGTTGTAAGCTTGTTGTATACTTTTACCAGATCATATCGCTGTACATTACGCACTAACTACAAATAAAAGAATCACACAGATTTTATAAATGAATTACGGTGGCTCATAAAACTTATTTCAATCGTAGCTATTTGATGACAGAATCATAGGAAAAACCACGGATGCGTCAAAATCAATCAAAGGTAGTCATTATATTTTAACTCGATCTTTCTTCACTATGTTATTTTTTTTTAAACGGGAAGACCAGAAAATGTATGTTGAACCATTCACATTTCAAGTTCAGCACTTAATGTTAGATAAATAGACCTTTTTATGTAATTTCAGCATATTCGTGACAATTATTATCACGTCGACACCGTTTGGGAATTATTTATGATTTCATTAATAACTATTGTATTTCCTTTTAGAGTATGAAGGTCGATGGCTTTGATTATGAGTGTCTTTAGGTTTCGTTGTTACCGTCTCATTTAAAGAACGTGACTTTATTTGAGTTTTATTAAGTTTTTATGGCGGGTGTTGAGGATGAAGCAGATGATGTTGTTCTATCTTAACGCTTGTTTTTATTTTCCCTTGTTCTTTTTAAATCATGTCTGTGTGTTGCCTCCTCGTCCATATTTGCCTTAGTTGTGTCACCGGTTTGTTTATACATGTGTGTTCCCTCTCTCCCTCCCTTGTGTTTGCTTTTTTTTAATACCTCATTTTCTTTTGATATAATTTAAATGACTTAGGCTTTATAGCGAAAATAATGGTATTTCTGAAATGAATCATTTGTTGTAATTAATTCTGTATAAGATATTTCAGAAATAAATAAATATGCATATGTTATAAAAAGAAGGATTTTAATCTATACAGCTAACCGTCATGACTTTATTTTAATGTCAATTAATATACTAATCTTGCATGTAAATAGCTGATGGCTAATGGGTACACAACACTTGCATTTATCATGATGGTTACTGATTAACTATAAAATGTGTGTTTGTTTGATGTTTAACATCCTCACATCCTCCAAAATGAGAGTGTTAATTAAGTGTTAAACATCCTCGCGACAGCCAATGTCATATGAAGACGGGTGTCAGGATAGATAGTAAGGAGGTAAGAAAAGAGAAGAAGCACAGACTCCAAATATTGCAACGGGGGAAGCAGATCAATTTTGATCTACCTTTGTTCCCTAAGCGGAAAGCATGGCACCACAGAAGAACACTCTCGAATCTGCAGTGGTCCAATATTGGACGCAGTTTTCCGTAACATTTAGTGGAGTACAATGAGAGAACAACCGATAACCTGGACAAAGTAACCTGACTACCAGTCACATTCTTCTTCTACGACCATTGAAAAGAAGTGTTGTTGAGATAAAAGAAAAAAGGAATTAAGCAAATCCTTTTTATTGCAATGAAGGCAAGAACAAACTGATTAGTTTTGTTTCTATTCTGTGTCCCCGCGAGGAGAGCACACACGAAAATTACTCAATATGATAAATAATGCTAATATTTCTTGAATAATGACCTTTTCTCTAGCTTTCTTTGCCTCTTGTTATAATTAAGCCACATCTGGAATAACAGAAAATGTCGCAGTTGATTCGGTATGCAAGAGCTTGCTCCCATTATCATGAATTCCGAGATAGCTATCTCCTGCTGATGGACAAACCAGCACCAAAGGGTTACCAAATATGCTGATCTATGACGATTCTAGACAAGTTTTATGGTCGCCATCACATCACATAGGGAAATATGTTTTTTGGGGGGTTATATGGAAGTCGTTGGTTATTTATTACGCTTATTAGTTTGTCTTGTAGGTCTGTTGTCACAACCCCGTGTTCGCGATCAAAGGACGTGGCATTACTTATATGTGACATTAAATTAATTCGAAAGAGTCATCGACTAATCAAAAGACGCTCACGCTTCCAGAACATCTGGTCTTATTCTACCTGTATATTTTCAATGGTCTGTATATAAATATTCCATTTGTTCACATTTTTTCCAAGTTTTATTGATTTGGATTTGAATTGTTGTTTTGTTGCCATTTCGACATCTTTTTTTTTATATATATATTTGCTATAATATTTAAGATTAAATACTCCTTCTAGATTTGTTTAAGACTTTTAGATTTTTACTTTGTAACCATGGTATATTTAAGCATGCTAGTTAGTTCTTTTTGTTATTACATTTTTATGCGCTTACAATGAAAGCTAATTTATAAGGATATATATTAATCATCTAAAAGACAAATAATAGAGCAAAAGGGAATTGCAGCACTCGTTGCAGTACTATGAATATTTATCTTTATCATTTGCTAACCTCCTTTTCAAACTTTTCCGTGGCCTGTTATGACAAACACACAGCAAATTAACCTTTAAAATTAACAAGGATAACAAGGATTTTAACTCTTAATAAGACCAACGAGTCGAGCATTGAAGAAATGGTCATATGGTGTAGATAATGTTTACTTTGTTTGGCCTTCTGCACTTTCTAATCGTAATTCTACTCAAAATTGTCCACAATAATAAAAAGATATATACATTTGATGTACTCGATTAAAAACAAAACAAACGAATAAGTTGATATATTTATTATAGTTGTTCAAATTGGCAAAAAGAGATTGCTTTCGATATCGTACATGTACGGGAAAACATCGACTCCAAACACACAATTACACAATTTATATGATTTATTTAGCTGGATGTAATCTCCCTGACACCATGCAGTAATAATCATTTCACAATAAACAAAGTAACAAGTTAAAATGTCAATGAATTGTGAAAGAAGAATAATCAAATAAAATCCCTAAAATCAACAGGAAAATCGAGTGATTAAGAAGTCATTTCCAAAATCATAAAATATTTCAACTATTTACCCCTTTGACAAATACAATATTGGTACCCAAACGTGAGTAGATTATGCGTGACTGAGGGATTATCAATTATATACCACTTTATACAACCTACTGGTAGAACGAAAAATTCAATATCTTAGGTTGTCAGTATAAGAATACTCAGGAAGATGATGAGAACAACTTGAGAAAATATTCAGAATGTCTTCTCATTCCAAATAATTCAATAACTGAATACAAACTCAAGATTTGATTTGACTATTCAAGTTATTAAATGGTAAAACCATATAAAAAAGCCTGATTTTCAAAATAAAGCGCAGCAGATGCATAAGAAAACAATCTCTATAATTCGATGTCTATCATTAAAAAGATATACATGTACATATGCACTGAGAGTATGAGTTCCTTTCTGCTAATTTGCCATAGTGTCATTGATCTTTCCAAAAGTCGATAGGTATCTAAACATACAATAATTAATGTTATAGGACATAATGGCTTGTTTCGAGTGAACATGCCTTACTTTTTCTGATTAATTTATAATGTATAAATTTCCTGATTACCAATGTATCCTATTTCAAATAAATAAGCAATACTGTATGCCGGGAAATTTTTGCTGCAATTTCATTTTTCGCCTTTTCGCCATCCTTAATGAGGGCGAATTTATAATGGCAACGAATAGTAGAAGTACACAATAAACCGTGTATAGTAATCACATGTAAAGGGCGAAATTAACACGGGATTAATATGGATAGTACTGGTAAAGAGTGAAATATTTACTGTGCGGAAGATTCCAGGTATACAGTATTTTGCGACGTATACCTATGTATATGTTTAAGTAGAAACTCGGGATAAGACAACAACAATGTTTGTTGGATATAGTCTGAAAAGATTACAAGACTTACACATACAAATAATAGACATAACTTTGAGTACAAATTGAATGTATTGCTCGTACATATAAACAATACTACAGAGCTACATTTGGCTGTCTTCGGAGACAAAAAGAAATACAAATATATATATAATATAGTTAAATTATTGCCACTTTTTCGAACATGAAATTGATGGAGAAAAGTGATTCATGATACAAAAATGGCATGTGATAAACACACAGTGGTCAGCTGTGACAGATTCCAGCCATAACAAATCAGCAGGTCTGTCACAAAAAAGTCAGGAAAGTTTTTTGAACAAATGGAATGTATAGAGCTATCATTACCGTGTTTTACTATAAAAAAGATAACAGTCATCGCAAAAATCATTCACTGATAGCGAACTAGGACAGAATCAAGCAATGTCAATTGAAAGTTGATTGCTTAAAAAGCTTCATTCTGGGCTATTCCGTTTTTGAAATAACAAGTACACTTTAATAAACTTTTTCCTTTCATTACAGCAAAAGTTCTTAATTTCATAACAAGAACAATTTTCATTCAATATATCTTTCAAACACGATACATGTTCATCATCAATTTTGTCCATTCAATGGTCTTGCCCATGCACTAAAGCGCCATCTTTAAAGAAAAATGATAAAGCATGTGCTCGTAACCAAAGGCAATCATGGCAGAGAGAAAACAAAACTCAATCCATCATATGACGTCATGTGATGACGTCACATTGCGTGTGTTCATTGTAGGCACGTCCAACTGTTCCATAAATACAAACAGTGCGTATAACGGAACCGAACCAAAAGGAGGCTATTTGGCAAACCGTACAACATCCGTCCAAAGTCACGCGTGGCAAGATAAATCTTGATCGTTCATCGAAGGAAAGTCTTCCACAAATTACAAACCATTGGGATATGGTTTATGAAATTGTCAATCCATGACGGCTTTTATTATCACTTTTTTGGCCAAAGCGCCTCCACCGCAAACATGATGTCTGCTATATTGCCGTCTAACAACTCGTCGTCAAGTATTTTCTCTTCACTACTGCTTTGAACCGTCAACTGGGGCAGCTCTGGTCGGTCTAATATGTCCACAGAATGTTGTCCTCGCGCTTGCATGATCACCATGCTTGAACTTTTCCTTCTAATATCATGTATAAGCATACCGTGGCTATCAACAAGATTACCAACACTTGAACTCAAAACATGCGCAGCTCTACCGGAAGTTAAAAAGTTTTTCCGTTTCTTTAACAATATTTCTTTTGGATCTACAATGTCAAAATCACGTTCTCTATCAGCATCGTTATACAAATTTTCACTGGATAATTTTCTTAATTCATTGTCTTCCTCGTCCTCACTGAAAGTAGTCTGTCTGCTAGAAACTGGCACTCGTAGCCTCGAATTCGGGTCAATAATGTCTTCAAAGGAGCGCGAGGATTTACTGGCTGCTGGTGTTTCTGTACTTGCATAGGAGTCACACGAAGTCTGCCAAGAGGCTTGATTCCGTAGCTTGTTCTTTCGCTTAGTACACACGTTCTGTATCTGGTTCACAAATGATGCTTTGTCGATTCCTGAGTTGTCATTCTCAGCCATTTCTACTAACCAAGCCACCAACTTGTCGTAGGAGTCCATTGGAGGTTCGTTCAGGTCATCTGTATTGTTTAATGCACAACCTGAAAGTATACAAATTACACACAAGATGTTATTTTTCCGGAAACATAAACGAGCGCGTCGACATCATAATACAAAAATTAATACAAAATATAAAGGCTACTAGACAGACACATTAGATAACTCTTTCAATGACTTTTCTGCTTTATATAAGACCTGATTCTAACAGCATGAATAAACTAATAGTTTCGACATTTAAAGTATTTCTGTCCTGTGCTTCGACTATACTTACATGTATGTACCTGCAAATATTTTTGTTTGTATTTCAATGTACCTCTTTTTTCCGTATCTTATGTTCGGCACCCCAAAATACTTATATAACGGTATGTATCTGTGAATGATATATATTGCTCTATGCACCCTTAAAAGTTGAATATAGATTAGAACCCTTTTTGCCGTATATTACGTTTTGTATTCCTAAATACAGAGTTTGAAACCTCTAAATACTGTTTATTACTTAATCTCATACACAATAAATATTGTACCCTCACAATTTGTATTTTATTTTATGAACCCTTTTTCTTATATAAAACTGTACCCCTTACTACTGTACATCACTTTGTGTACTCTAAATTATTGTATATTATCTTATGTACCCCTACATGTATATATTTTATATTACTTTGTGTACCCCTTAATACTGTAAAATACTTTGTGTACCCCTAATTACACTTCAAGTCGTGTACCTACAAATTTGCATATTACGTGGTATACATACATAATGTATGAATACTTTACATATCGATAAACGATATGTTAGTACGGTACCACACATATCTAAAGCTGACGTGTACAAAGAAGTACACTGTCCTGATGTCAACACAGAAAGAACTAATGTATGTTGGTATAATTTGAAATTAAATAATATTTTTTCGAAATACCGTATCAAATTGCCTCCATCTATATAATCTACAGTATCATGTTATCGTGTATGTTACAAGATAAGCCCTAACAGTTCGGGGAGGTTTCCTACAGCAGGTTATCGAAAGAGGCCATAGATATGGGTCACATGCAGAGTTTCCCCCCTGTGTTCCTGCTTAGGAGACAATGAAGAAATCGAAATAGATATACCTCCGCCTATTGTGACACATGGGATCTATATATCTACATCCTTTCTCAACTTTCCTACGCCTTCGTTTCGTCAATGTCTCCCCAGATACCTGGCTTCATCAAACCTAGGCTGTTGCAAGGACGTTTTATCCCAAACAAATAAACACGAACAGTTACAACGTATTTCAGAGAACTTGTACAGTACTCCTGAACCAGCATTACAGATTGAGATTTAAATTAAAATGGATCCACTGATCAGGAAATTATCAATTATAAATTGTATATCTATGTACTGTAAAGCGCTTTAGGGTCGCTTATGTTAGCTAGATATGGCGCTATATCACATGTTGTATATTATTTATATTATTAAGGAAATGGTTTTGTTGGTAGCATAAATATGTTCGTCGTATTCATATTACCAAAATATATATTGACTTTTCTACTTTTAACATCTATGAAATGCAGTGTGAATCATGCCTATCTTAAAGAAATTAGCAAATTGATATGGCAATACCTACACAAATTCCCGAGAATTTTGAAAATGTGGCGTAAATACTGACAGTGATGATTTTTTTAAAATAAATGGTTTACATTAATTTACATTAAAATCGTGAAGCACTCTCTGTGACGTAACAGACATCTCCAAAGTTCACATAGAGTGATATTTTTGATGTTGCTTTACATTTTGTGTAGCACTACTACTCTTATGACCTAACATAACCTTTATTCACTTTGTTGTCAAATCATCAAAAATGCTCGGGATGTGATTTTTAATGATTTTTGACATGGAACGAACCTTTGGCACAGACGAAAGTTTTGTTTCATCGTTACAATCAATAACATCGTCTACTGTCGAATATGCTATTAAACACCTTATTGTGAATGAAAATTGAAGTACATTTTAGTTCACACATTGCTAGCGGGGGAATTTTGCCAAAGGTTAATAGGTACAAACTATGTTATTATGCATTGGAAGTAAATATACAAATTGTATTTGTAAATGAAACATTTTAAATATCTATATTAAGCATGCCATTCATTGCAAAAAAGTCTATGTTTACAAAAGAATTTATGATTTTATATAAAAAAATCAATCTCAACGAAATTAACATCGAAATATATAATAAACAGGATGTACGGAACGATAACCAACATAGATACTGGATTTGGCAGAGAACCAGATGTATTTCGTGTGTTATCGCGATGTAGTAAGTGTAACGTATGATTCACTGTGGTATCACACGTGGTGGCCAATCAATTGAAAGTCAGTTTATTACAGTTTTTTGATTTGTGATGAATCACATAGGAGATTTAGTAGGCGGTTGTCTGGAGTAGCTAGTACACGTATAATTAAGCTTTAAATCGTCATAATTGAATGTACTCTGAATAAGGTTAACCCACGGTCAGCGTTCTCACTGACACGGAGCGTGTTAGAGAAAAAGTTCAAAATGCAGATACGTTTTTTACACAGAACAATATCAAATGGTAGGAATTCCATGATAAGTTAAAACTACCAAACGATCCTGGTGAGTGAAATTTTATATCATTAATAGCTCCATGTTCCGTACAAACGATAACAAATCTGTTCAGATAGACACGTGAATAAACAGAAGAACGAATTGTTTACATAACGGCAAGGCCATACTGCTGAAATAGAGACGAGGAGCTTTCCGCTTAGCATGAACATTGTTAACTAATTTATCAACTGTTTAGAAAAAGCACGCACAGAAGTACTTGTGATAATATAGGTTATGTATCTCAAACCCAATATCATGTTTAGGTAAAAGATGGAACGGTAGACAACGCCAGCAGTAGGTTGGTACCATGCTGAGTATGCAAATACCCGGAGCTATCACGACTGCCTATCTGTCGATTCATGGTACTACGCAGAACACGGTAAACAAGTAGGGGCTAGCACAAACCAGCACAGTATACACTAGCCAAGGGGCAAATCCTTTAACCAAATCATGTTTTGAATAATTAAAATAGTGATATTTAACCAAGATATAAAACCAAAAAACAATAATACAATATTTACAAAGATCAGCACAACTGATTTTCTGGTAATTTTCTGCTTTGTGGAACTTATAACGACCAATGCCGATTTCCTTCCCGATTTCTTATACTCGGTATTTTTATCGTGTTATTTCCGTAGCTATCGTTTTACCGTGTCAGCGAACCCTGTCAATTTGGAACAGATATATGAGCAATATTGTACAGATAATTCTATTTGTATATTTACATGCAGCTGAACGTTTTATCATTCAAATATAAAAACAATCGGTAATATGAAATATATTCCGGAATCGATTAAATATCTACATGTACCTATTGGTTTTAGGTGCACGGTCGTTGTTGATATATCCGTTACGCGCAGTCAACTATGAACTCATAACAAAGTTAATCAGGAGATTGATGGGGCATGATTGTTAGGCTATTTTATTCGTATCACAAATCTAAATAATTAAACTGTATATCTCCAATGATTCGCTCCAATGAAACTGATGTAAAAGTGTCCTTCGATCACTGAAATAAGTGTTATCGATATGTCCTGAAATAACATCCGGGTATAAAATGCAATTTTATGATATTCTATTCATTGCCGATTTCTGATCTTCATTATGTATGTAATGGATAGTAAGAGATAATATGTCAATGTAACTGTACAGCGAAATTGGTGAATTAAAATTAGCGATCATCATTTAATTGAAATTAAAACATTTTTGAATGACTCATAATTCAACGGATTGAATCCTGATATATTCTCAATAAAGTAATAATCAGAAAAATGTATCTCATGTCATTTGAATTGCAATTGAATTCCTTTTACAGCCGTAAAACAACAGATATATTCATTGAAGCGTTTGACAAAAATTTCCAGCTGTTTGGAAAATGAAGCATATCAAGACAAGAGGTCTTATAAATTAACATTTAATGCATTTTTCTTTTTTCCCATGATGATATCCAGAATAAACCAGGCCTATGTTTACGACAGAATGGAAACGTACCAATCCGCCTGGTTATGTATTGCCGTACATCTGATAGTGTAGGAAATGTCATGCCTTCAATACTCTTGGATTACGGTATATTTGTGGATTCTGGAGCCTTTGATATTATCAACGATAGATCGAGCCCGACGTTAATGCTAGCCTGCAATTTGTAACATTTTTGCACGGTGTCAGAATTATCTGTCGGGGTTTGTAATGACGCAACAATAGGTTCAATTAACAAGATATCAGACGTATGTCAGAACAAAATCAACATAAATGTTTTCGTGTTCCGCATCACATCCTTTCGTATATTGAACGATAACAGAATCTTCACCACACATCATTCATATACGCATGTCTAACTTTGATTAACTTCCGGTGAACTCCTCATCAACCTTTCAGCAACCCACATGATTTTGTTCTGTAGACTTGTTTACTAGAGTTGAGGGATCGAGTGGATCTTATCGGTAACTGATTAATTCTCTTTCCAATCGAGCTGGTGCATCTTCCAACAAGATTCAAAACATCGAATAAACTTGACCTTTCCGTACCGTTACTAGATATAGTAGAAAATGGGTTGATGGCATGCGCTAATTGGACCTGCAGGATATAATTAGCATGCATGGCAAGCATGTATCAACACACACACACGACGTTGAGTGATGATGTCTTGAGTTGTGCAGTATAACGCACGTGCTATTATGATGATATTGACAGCATCATATATAATCATCATAGGAAATTATTATTTTGTTTGGTTTATTGGGCTTAATGCTAATTAATAGCAAAGGTCATCTAAGGACTGCTTCAAAGTGTCTAATGTGTGTATGTAACCTTGAAAAACACATTATAATTGTCAATCTAATTAACCCAAATGTATATATCAGGGGGCATCGCTGGTTTTGTACCTTTTTCTAATACTTCAAAATCTATCTCCTTTATCAGGTTTAGTATCTGCGTCA